TGGGGGGACAGGGGGGGCTCAGCTGGGCCCCAGGGACGGAAGGGATGGGCTGTGCAGCGGGGAGGGGGCTGCCTGGCCAGGGCACGGTGTGCTCAGGTGGCCAGACCGAGACTGTTTGTTGTTCTTGTGACTTCTCCCCAAACCTCGTGTGCCGCAGGATTTCCTGCCCAGAGAAGCTGCAGCCCCGAGTGGTGACCGTGGGCGGTTCCGTTGGCACTTGGGCTCCCATGTGTGAGGTGAGTGAGAACGGGGTGAGCCCTGTGCATCCCTCCTGGGTAGGGGGAACACGAGGGGGGCTGGGGAAGGGCTGCTGGGCGGTGGGGCCACCGGGCCCAGCCTTGTACCAGCCAGTCCCACCCGTGCCCCAGATCAACTCTGAGGTGGGCTCCGTGCTGGGTTCCCCTGTGCAGTACCAGGTGTGAGCATCCACGCAGCGTTCTGATGGTCATGTATGATACTGCACACAGCGGGCTCATCCCTCAGCTGAGGGAAAACAGCCCTCAGATGAGTTTCTTTAATGACTGCTGCAGCGTCTCTTAAAAACCACCGAGCCAGATTAAAGTGAGGCTGCACGTCCTTGGTGGGTGTGGTGTACAGACACAGAAAGCAGAACTTGGATACATTGCATGGGTATTTTTTTCACTTGATTTATCACTGGCACTGTCTGAATTCCAAAATTTTGTTCCCCCCCACAGTAGGAAATACTGATAAGGTCGTTTCTTTCCTTGAACAAATTGTAAGGCTTTGTTGGAAGTTGTGTACTTTGCTCTCTCGTTACGTCTGTGATTTTCTGTCCTGTTTGGTTTTTCTCCTGCAGCCAGGGAGTCCGGCCAGGGTCACAGCTCAGGTGAACACGAGCTCTCACAAGCCTGGGGAGGGGAGCGGGCAAGGCCTGTGCTGTGAGCCTGGAACCAAAGTCATCCTGGCTTCTGACAAAAAGCCTAAAAGAGCAACTTTTCTGCTTGTTGTTGTTGTTGTCAGTGGGGTGATGTGGCTCACAGCGAGGTCACCCCAGACAGCTGCTGCTGTGCAACTGTGGAGCTGTCAGGGGGTGGGAGGAGGGGGCTGCTCCCCAAACCAGCTTTGTTTGCCATCAGACTCTGTTTTGCTCGTGGCTGCAGCCGATGTGCCAGTGATGGGTGAGCTCTCCCAGCAGAATTTGGGATAAAGTTGATATTTCATTGCTGCTGAAATGACAGACCCTCCCTGCCCCCAGTCCCAGCACAATGCTGCTTTTGCTCACCTAGACCTGGCACTGGGGTTTGTTAGGCCCATCTGTGACTGCTGCTTTTGCTCACCTAGACCTGGCACTGGCCCATCTGTGAGCAAATTTAACCCAAGAAAGCAGCAAAAACGAGCTGAGGAGAGAAAAATAAGTAACTTTCTAGCATGTTAATGAAGTCATGGGGAAGTTGGCAGTGTCCAAGGTTGGGAGGGAGAGGAAGGACTGTGTAGTTTGGGGGAGGGAAAAGCAACTTTTCTGCCTCCCTTTTCTCCCCACCAGTGACTTTGTGTCGCAGAGGAGCTGCACTGCACTGTAGAGACCATGGTGTGCACAGTGGCCGTGCAGAAGCTGCCAGGTGCCATATTTCCAATCACACCTTCAAGCCAGGAGCACTGCACACCAGCTGCACCTGAGCCAGCAGGACGGGGCTGATGTGTCTGTCTCAGGAGCTCCAATACGCTGTCGCTCTGCCCAGCCTCATGCCGTGTTCACCAGATGTGTGAACTGTCCCTGATCATTTTAGTGAGGTGTTCATTTGGGAGCCTGATGGTTTAACAGCTCACTGATAATTCTTTGTGTTGCACCTGCTTGTCCTTCAGGTGGTGATTTTCTTTTCCACTGCACCTCTTACCCAACTGCTTCTGCCAGGGTCACCCTAACAGTATGAAGTATATTTTTGAAGAAAAACTGTTCTTACTGTGTCTCCTCAGCAGAAATGAAGCAGTGTCTCTGGTTGGGGCCTTCTGGTGCATCCCTATGATGCAACACTGATCCAGAACACACTCATTTTGCTGCCTCTGATGTGCTCAGACCAGTCCAGGCCATTAACGCTGTGCTGGCAGCTTTCTGCTGGCCACACCTCTGACCTGTCAGTGTCACACAAGACAAGCTCTGGGCTGTGTGTTACAGCTGTTTTGATGTTCCCATGTCTGGTAAGATCAGGTGTGTGCTTGGGTTGATCTGGCAGTTTTATTTTACCACGACACTGCAGGCTTGAGAGCGACTTCCCCCCGCCCCAGCTGGAAAGGAGGTGGTGGCAAAAGTGGTGCTTGGCACTGAGGTGCTGTTGGCAGTTTTCAGGGTAGAACTGCTGTCGGGAAGAATTTTAAGGAGAGCTGGGGGTGGGATGCTGCTTCTCTTAGGTGCTGAGGCAGAGAAGATGGGTCTGTAGGACAGTGGTCTCCAGCTTTAGCTGCGTTTCGGGCTGACACCCTGACTGGGTGATGTCTCCTGCGCTGATTGAAGCTGTGCTCCCTTCACCATATGCAAAGTCACCTGCTTTGAATTTGCAACCAATTCTGTTTCTGCTTTTGTCTCCTGATGTTGAACTGACCTGGGCAGATCTGTCTGACAGTCTCAGCCTGCAGTCAGAAGACATTTCACTTGTGTAGTGCTGCAGACTAGCACCTTTGTTCAGTTTATTATTTGAAGGAGCATTTCTCTTTCCTTTTGCTAATGTTGCTCTTCCCTGGGTTATAAATTGCTGTTTTCAGCCACCTGGGCTGTCAGAATAAAGCGTGTGGAGCCCTAGGTGGGGTGGTTACAAATATCCTGATCTTAGTTGCACTTGGAAACTGAGCTGTATTTATCCTTTAAATCAAAAATGTGTCAATGTTGCTATATTTTAAACTTGTCAGGTTTCTAATAAAGGAGGAAAAAGTTGTATCTAAGTCAGAGAAATATCTTCTAAGCTTGGAGAATCTTCATTTTAAAAACAAAGTTATTTGTCTGACCGAGGATTTTCCTGTCGACTGACTGTTAAACAATGAAGCATGTTCTCATTTCAGGTAACGTGTAGTGTCACCATTTGCAGGAGGGGGGCCTTGGATCACGAGCTGTTTGTGCCAGCCCTGTGCGGTCTGACTGCCCGGCACACAGAGCCAGCAGCTCAGATGCCCGTGCCCAGCTTCCCTGCAGTGTGCTGGCTTTTCAGGGGGTGGGACTGGAAGATCTTCCTGCAGGATGGTGAGAGTGCTGCCCTTGCAATTTGGCTATACTTGTGTGGTCTTTTTATGTCATAGAAAGCAGTGTGGCCTAACCAGGTGGTAAACATGAATAAAATCCGGTTTTTAAAATTGACTTTCTCCATATTTAATACTTGCTATTCTGTGTGAACAAAGTAGAAAGATTTTTTACAAGATGCACGTGTGCATACAGGCAAGTAGGGTATAAAACTACTTCTACCCTGGCACCTGGGGCTTCTGCCCGGGACAGTCACACGCTGGAGACGTGCAGTGCTCTCTAGATGTGTGGATCTGGGTATGTGTAGGGGTAATTCCATCTGGAGTTCAGCCGTGCTGAAGGATTTGAGAGCATCTCCTCAGTGTGCTGAGCTCCCGTCTCCACCAGAGGGTGTGAGGCTCCGTGGAATGGCCGAATTTCACCGAAACTGCAAAACCCAGAGACTCTCTCCCTTTGGGATGCACAGGATGATGTTCCTGTTGGAGATTCCCACGCTGCGTGTTGCCAGCAGCCCAGGTTGGTTATGTGCTGTCAGTGGGATCCAGTTAGTGCTTGCCCCCAGTGCTGGCTCCTGAAGAGGTCACATAGAGTGGTCAGCTTGCGTGTGCCTAGTTCCTTCCACCTGGGTGGTGAAATGTACCCTTGCTAACAGGAAGTGATAACTTGTCACTTGCACTGCGAAGGGCCTGGCTCCTGCATTTTCTGCTAGAAAATTTTCTACTAGATTCCTAGGGAATTTCTGCTTCATCTGCAACACTCCCAAACCAAACCTGAGGCAAGTGTGCTGTGAAATGCAGGGAGCTGGTGCTGGTTGCTGGGTTAACCCCGGCTGTGTCTGCCTTCCCTGTGCTTAGTGCTCACAGGAACTGCCACGGGGTTCATGGTGGCCACGTTGGCTCCTGGGCTGAGTACGGGATTTCTTCCTTGCTAAATTTTGCCTCCCAAGTGTCATGTTGAGAATGAATTCCTGAGCAGAACTGAACCTGGCCCCGCTCCTGAGCAATGCTGGTTTTGCTGCTGCACTTGCAGGGCTTGAGAAGGTGATTCCACAGAAGAGATGGACATCTCCGTGAGTACATAACTGCCGCAGCTGAAGTCATTAGTTGTGCTTGAAGTGCTGTTACAGTAAAAGCATCTTTGGGCTGACAGGTACAGGCAGAACAGCCTCTGCCAGCTCGGTGTGCTGAGGTCTCTGCTTAACCAATGGGCAAAGTGGATTGGAGATGATTGTAAACAGCCTTCATTTGAGGAAAGCACAGCCGACCTGGGAGAAGTGGGTCAGCTGGATATTTGGGGCTGTGTAACTTGTAAATCATGATTAAGGATCTTCTTTATCAGTGACTCAAATTGCATTGTAAAAGTGGCCTGT